GGCAGCGAGCACCTGCCCTCCACCTCTACAGGAGCTACTTGGGTGAACTTTTGGCCTCAGGTAGTGGCAAGCAGTCAGGTCATTCCCGCCAAACGTTGACAACCAATGACAAACGTAGATCAATGACATTATCTACCCACATGACCTCTGATGACATATGTGAAGTCTAACATATCTATGTCATTGCTGCCACCTTTCTCTGATTGGCTAATCAAGAAAGAATGACTGTATGCTGGCTAGCACATGTCCCCATGCCAGGCAAGCTACTGCAACCTCGGACAGTGTCAGAAAGATGTGTGCATGAGTAGCTAAAGGCCACAGCTTGATTGCATCATTCTAAATCCTTAAGTAAGTCTAGTTAACACTAATTCATCGTACAATAGCCTGTAAGAAGCTGGAACCCTGCAGTTCAATTATTTTCATCAAATCAAGTTAAACTGATTGTAAAGTAGATATCACACTGGCACAACTAGATGCAATAGACTGAGTAGAGTGCCATTTCATCACAGAATATCCAAGTCATTAGTAGAATAAAAGTAAATTACATGATGAGTGAACATAGGTTGCTAAACTACAGTGCAGCCACAGAGAAATTCAAAGCATGAAATGCTTTAAAGTTGATCTGAAGAAAGAATGAATACCTCTAGCTGTCATTCTAAGTTTCACTCATTAATGTGCAAGCCGCTCACACGTGAACCCATGCAAGTGAACCATGAGTGCAGCTGTGTAGCCAAATCACGTGTGTGCAGAATCCAGCCTGCACCTTCAAGGCATCCAGAGTTGCGACCTGCTGTCATTACTGACCACATGATCCGCCCAGGATTCCTGGAAACACCCCGCACCACCCTGCATCTACAGCTACCACCACATGCAACCAAATGTAGATGACATTCAGCAGGCCAGCTACGAGACCGATGCAACGAGAAGACCAGCCATTCAGATCTACATAGCCAAGTGTGGAAAGAGGTAGTGATTGGTTGAGGCTGGCCAGTTATTATAAGTACTATTACTCTGATTAATTTACTGATATTACTCACCTGCAACAGGTGGAGGTGGAGTTTAAAGACCAAACTTGACAAAGAACGAGTGATTATCAGTATGTCACGCCATTCAGCTGTAAGAGTGAATGTATATTGTTACATACACAATACATTTAGTTATGTGCATGTTATGTTGACTGTCAGTTTGATAGGTCATTATTGTTGCTAATTGTGCATGTCATTACTGTTCCAGAGTATCGAGAAGGAACTTGTACAAGTCCTGTGCGATAAGCCGTGATAATTATGCCATATCTTGTGATAAGTTGTCTGGAGGACGCGTTAAGACAGGATTATCAGCGGGTATACTGCACGATCAGTCAGCGAGGCGTCCAAGTGTTTCTCCGACACGATAGAAGCTTCGACGACATCAATCTTAAGTAGTGAATGCTCTGTGTATTATAGTACACAAGTTCTGTAAATAAATATTTATAGGCTTACATCTGTGTGTAAATCCTGTCTGTATACTGTCACATCAAATGTTAAACGTGACATCAGCATGAGCTATTAGTTCCAAGTTCCTACTACAGCACTACACAAGCCCTACACTATAGCTCAAGATGACACTCTCCTGGCACACAGTTCCAAAGTTCCAAACTACAGCACTACATAAGCCCTACACTAGAAATTTGATGTTCTCCTCTAGTTATGCTTGTGGGGATTGAGCTCTGGCTCTTTGGTCCCGCCTCTCAACTGTCAATCAACTTGTGTGCAGATTCTGGAGCCTATTGGGCTCTATCAAATCTACATTTGAAACTGTGTATGGAGTCAGCCTCCACCACATCACTGCCTAGTGCATTCCTCCATTTGTTAACTACTCTGACACTGAAAAAATTCTTTCTAATGCCTCTGTGGGTCATTTGGGTACTAAGTTTCCACCTGTGACCCCTTTTTGTGTTCTACCCGTGCTGAAGAGTTTGTCTTTGTCCACCCTGTCAATTGCCCTGAGAATTTTATAGGTGGTGATCATGTCTTCCCTTACTTTTCTGTCTTCCAGGGATGTGAGGGTTAGCTCCTGTAGCCTTTCTGCATAGCTCATACCTCTCGGTTTTGGAACTAGTTTGGTGGCATACCTTTGAATTTTCTTTAACTATGCCTTGTGTTTAACTAGGTATGGACTCCAGGCTGGAGCTGCATACTCCAGGATTGGTCTGACATAAGTGGTATACAAGGTCCTGAACGATTCCTTACACAAGTTTCTAAAGGCAGTTCTTATGTTGGCCAATCTAGCATATGCCACTGATGATATCCTTTTGATATGGGCTACTAGGGACAGGTGTGGTATGATATCAATCCCCAGATCTATTTAGATGACCAGAATTTAGCCTTTTCCTTTCTGATCCCTTCCTTGGATACGTTATCCCTACCTCTCCCCAGATACTCAAATGTCAATATGCTGTGGTCACTCATTCCCATGGGGGCTTCAAATTTTACTTACCTTATTTCCGACTCATTTAAGGTGAATGTCAGGTCGAGTCTAGCTGCTTCGTCATTGCCTCTCATTCTTGTGGGGTTCCTTGACATGTTGGCTCAAATTGTTGCTGCCACTTCCAAGAATTTAGCTCTCCCTGTATCTGCATCTCCATGTGGTTCTCCATTCTCCTAGTCTATCTTTCTGTGGTTAAAGTCGCCCATTATTAAGAGTCTGGATCCATTCCTACAGGCAACTGAAGCTGCTCTATTATATTAATGGTTGCCATGTTGTTCCTATTGATCAACTCCTCCTCTCTGGGACTCCTGTCTGGGTCTTCTGTCGTTTAATGGAGTGTTGTAAATGACTGCTACTATTATCTTGGGTCCACTCATTGTCATAGTTCCTGTTATGTAGTCTCTAAACCCGTCACAGCCCAGCATTTCCATCTCTTCAAAACTCCAATCCTTCTTTATCAGCAGGGCCACTCCTCCTCCCCTTCCCTCCCTTATTATATAATGTAGTAGTCCAGCAGAAACACTGCATTTGTTAAAATGCCTGACAATTTTGTTTCTGTGAGTTCTATTACATCCGGATTTTCTTCCTGCACCCTTTCAGCCAGTTCACTTGCTTTATTAGTAACCCCATCAATGTTTAACATCATTACCTTGAGGCCCACTTTACTATACCCATTATCTCACACACACTCCCCATTGGAGTGGAAAGCCATTCCATGGGCAGGGCTACTTGGGTAGGTTCATTCTCCTGTGGGATAGTTACCAGGGATTTAGGGGGAAGATGGGGTGAGGGATGGAGGGCTTAGATCTTGCCTGGGCCTGCTTGGGGCAGGAGGAAGGCCAGGGAATGGGGAGGAAGGGGTGCTCAAAGTTGAGGGAGGAGGGAGGATTTAGGTGAGATGGTGGGCATTGTGTAGGGGGGAAGGGAGGGTTTGGGCTTGGGGGGGGGCCTATGGGGTGGCAGGTGGGGGTGTTGCAGTCCTCTCTGGGGTTCCTGAATTGCTGGTTTGGGCTCCCCACTTCCCTCTGGGATTGTTGTATTGGAAGCCGAGGTTCCTTTTCTCCCTGTGCCCTTTCCTTGCATCTGCTGCCTGCATTATCCCTGGTCATATCCCAATGAAGGAATGCCCCTCTATATTCCCTTTCAGAAAGGGAAGGAAACAAATTTCCTATTACATATTTCAGTTTGCTGTTCTTTACTAGAATGTCCTCTTTTGTGGCCTCGTACCTGAAAACTGTGTATACTCTGTGTATAGAGCCCAATGGGAGGACTTTTTAAGTGCATCCTAAGCATTAAAGGACTCCCATGACCAAAGTGATTTGAGTAAAGATGAAACCTGTGAGGAATTCCCCACAGCTGGACCCTTATTCAATATTATGCACCTTGATCCTGGACCCTTTTATCATGTCTAATCCCAAGCTTGCATTGCTGAAGCTGCCTGTCATTGCATGCAACTGCAACCATGATGAAGCAAAAATCCAGTCCCCCCTTCCCCCCCACAACACCCAAACCTCTCCAGAGCCCACTGTGTCACTGGAGAATACAGGAAGAGTGACCAACAACAGCACTCTGACACCTTGGAGGAAACCGGTGCAGAGAAGGCAACGTTCCTTTTATATGCGGGGGTTTGGTTGTGGTATTTGATTTTGTATTTAAAAATTTCTGTATATATATAGATATGTTTAGAGGCAAGTACTATTGTTGGATATGATGACCAAACTACACAACAGAAGATGAAGAAAGGACAATGTTTCGGTCCGTCCTGGACCATTATCAAGTCGCACGTGATAAATGATAATGGTCCAGAACGGACCGAAACATTGTCGTTTCTTCATCTTCTGGTGTGTAGTTTGGTCATCATATCTTTTGCCACGTTATTGTGATTAGTCATCAGCATATTGTTGGGTGTATCTTGAAGTTGTCCAGAGGGCAGTTCAAGACCCCAATGTTCTCATCCCTTAGTTCATGGGTGCTTCCCAGTGATTCAGCAGAGAAAATGTAGAGTACTGTTTTATTTTGGCTGACTGGCCTGCGAGAAACTTATCTATACAACTTTTCATATAGATGAATCATATAGATTCCATAATTTTCAGTATTGACACTCGAGCAATTATTGAGGAGCACCCTACTGCTTCCTAACGTGTAGAGTGCTCCTTATAAATTGTCATATACTGTACCAACAACTACAGTCACTCTTCCCACATTGAATATGTGGGCTGTGAGTGTGAAAGCAAGCCGGAAAGATTCCCTGCTTCCTTTCACGTCCTCACCATCTTCTCCCCAATGTCTTCCAGGCTCTCCTATACTGCTTCTGTCCTTATTACACATACATACACGCCCTGCAATACACTACAATTATACACTCATTCAATACGTATAAACCATCTTTGCACACACTCCTTAATCTGGTTATTTAACTTTTTCACTCTGCATCTCTCCATGACAGTTTCAGTCCGCACTATTATACCACACTCGTTTCTCACACTGTCTATTCCCACTCCTCTAAGTTAAACCAATATATTGCTTTCACTTACTTTGAAGATCATCCAGGACGAGCAGGTTTCCAAATGTTTTTGTGTGGTAGATCTGGACTTTCTGGAAGTCAGTCTTCTCTTCAAATAACAGTTTATCAACATCATACTCCAGAAGCCTGTCATCTGTAAAACATACTGGCTGTTACTAGTATTCCTGCTCCTCAACAGTAAGTTCAACTTCTTGTCAGTGACTTATCATCCCGTATATTGTGAAGCAAATATTGAACTGCAAAACTGAGCCCAAATCCCAGCATTAAAATTCTTGCTAATGACTAAGCAGGGAAGTGCTTAGTCACCAGAAAGTGTCAAGCCCCACGACTATATAAGGGGACTTGGAAGGGACCAGGATAAGGATTTGGGATGGGACAGGAGGCGGGGCGGAGCAATGGTGCCCAACCACTTGGACAGGCGGGTATTGAACGGGGGAAGGGAAGGGGGGGAAGGTTGAGGCAGAAAGAAAGGAGAGAGAGAGAGGGAGAGAGCACGCTAGCTGACATGGATGATATCCTTGTGTACCTGACATACAGGAGTCAGATTCTGGGTCATATGCACCCCTGCTCTCCATTCCTTACTTCTACTACATTACAAAAAATTACTTTAATAACTGTAATCCCCTATTATGCTAATATACAGTACTTCAAAATATAATATGCAAGTATTCTACTGTAACTAATATTTTAGTTCAAATATTTGGAATTTAAAATAACATACATTGTTGTGAAGTTTGTAACAGCCATTAGATACATGCTTGACAGTTTTGTGACAGGAAGTATTAATATCTTTACTGATAGTGAAGGTGTATGTGTGACCTTACCTGAGGATGTAAAGTATGGGTTAATGGGTGGCACTCTCTTGAGGGCTGGCAACACCTTGGCCACCGTGCACCCAAACTTCTCTCGTATCTGCCGTTCCAGTCGCCGACCATCCTACAATAATAAACAACTTTTGTACTGTATTAAATAACTTATCTACAAATATTAATTTACTGTAATACTGTACATGATTGACAACAGTGAACTCAATAATGCATTAACACTAGAGCAAATGTTTGCCACGGAACTTCAACTGCTAATGTGAGAAATGAAGTCATCTTTCATTTTCAGTTTCCTTAAAAATTCCCATCAATTAATATTTGCATATAGACTACAGTACTTCATTCATCAACAGTCCTCATTGTATCAACCTCTTTCCCACTCTAATGTGGGGTGGGGATGCACATGCCAGGAAGAAATGAGAGCAAATGGTTAAAAGATAAATATGAAAAAGGCACCCCATTCAATTGCCATATTATCAATAGTTCAAACTTGGCACCATGTAAAGGCAGCACCATCTCACACACACAACTTGGCACCATGTAAAGGCAGCACCATCTCTCACACACAACTTGCCACCATGTAAAGGCAGCACCATCTCTCACACACAACTTGGCACCATGTAAAGGCAGCACCATCTCTCACACACAACTTGGCACCATGTAAAGGCAGCACCATTGTTTTGTATCTCTAACCGGATACGTATATAAATTCATGATAATGAGTTGGCAATATCAGGAGACAGGAGCGCGGTTGCTCTTTACACGTCTAATACCTGTTAGATTCGGGAAAGTAGAATTCCTGGACCTGTTCAATTATGGGAGTTCCAGATGTCACTTTTTAATTTTCATATACAGTGGTACCTCGCATAACGAATTTAATCCGTTCCATGTTCGTCATGCGAAACGGACGTCATACAAAACGAGTGTCTCCCATGTAACCAGTGTGATGCACTGTGTTTATTGTGAAATTTCCCTAGTGTGCATGACATCAAATGTTCCCCAAAATATAATTTTTCTTTGTAAAATGATAAATTACCGTCCCTGAACATGTCTATGTAAAGATAATTACCAAATTCCACTTACTTTGGCTGTGAGGGCGTGGACAAGGTGCGCTGTGACGTCATCAGGGCCTGGTCGCCCGAGTGTGAAGCTCCCAGACACGGTCGCGCAGGCCATTCAAGCACCGCGTGTTGCCACAAATATATTTTCAAATATTTTTCCTATGCATTTCCAATGCGGTTTTATTTGTTTCTTTTATCGTATATGATGCATATTTGTGACCTTTACAATATGTATACAGTAGAATGTTCATAATTTTCCATGAAACTGTGATACATGTGTCAGTAATGTGTCCACAATAAATGTTTATTGTCACAATATTACGTGGTAAAAATTCACTAATATTACAATATGTACAGTTTCACATACTATTTACACAGTAACACACTGTATTACACACTCAGTACTTTGGAGGTGCATAATAGTCAACGAAGTAGTCCATGGTACACAGCGCGACTTAGCTCTCCTTGCACCAGCTACAGATAGATTTTTGTTTCCTGTTTCATCGTTCTGTGTGCTTGCAAATAATGCACTCGCGTGCACCCTTGGGTTTAGTACTTGTAGGTGGTATGTAGCCAAGCTTGTAAAGCATAAAGTAGTATTGAAACGATTATAGGAAAAGCTCAATTTGTAAGGTAGTCTTGAAAAGATCGCTTTGTAAGGTCCCACACAGGAAGAGATTCAGCTAGCCTCAAAGAGTGTCCATCAGTCAGGAAAAGATTTAGGTATTCTTAAAAATATCAATGAACACCTCCACCATGGAAGCCGCTAACACTGTTCATCTATGCTACTTGTATCAGATGCATCATCACTGAACGCAGAAAACGATTCATCTATGTATCATCTATATACATTAGAGATGGCAAGGGTGGGGCTCAGAGCTACACCTGGATACGCTCGCTGTATCATCCTCATAGGTGCTGTATCACAGGCATCCGACCGTTGTGTTAAGCCCTTATTGCGCCTAGCTTCACCAATGTTATGACCCTTATGTTCTTCAAACAATAGGGTCTGAATTGCACTGACTGAGTACAGTCTTTCAACACCGTGTGGGACAGGTGTTTGAGAGCCAGAGGCACGTGTGCTACAAATGGTTGCTCACGCACTACTAACCCAGCCAGCAGCCCTTGTCTTTCATATTCGTTATAGCAAAAGGTTCGTTCAGTGTTTGTTGGGTAGGCTGCTCCATTATGACAATCTTTCTTTGTTTCAAATGTGTTCCATTTGTTTTGTATTTATCACTTACGTCTCAATAATGGAGCAGCCTACCCGACAAACACTGAACGAACCTTTATGACATTTGTCCATTTTCCAAATTGTTTCAACAGTTTTTATTTTTCTTTTTTTTCTTTTTTTTTTAAGAAACATGGAGCAGTCGACCTGTAGACCACCGAACGAACCTTTTTGACATTTGTACTGGTTTTCAAAATTCTTCATTTTTTTTATTATTTACGTTTTTTGTATGTAAGAAACATGGAGCAGCCTACCTGCCGACCAACGAACGAACCTTTTGCTATAAGACAAATGAAAAATAAATATTGAACACATTTGAAGAAAGGAAAATGTCATAATGGTTTATTCAGTGTATGTAAGGTAGGCTTCTCCATTATTGAGACGTAAATGACAAATACAAAACAAATGGAACACATTTGAAACAAAGAAAGATTGTTATAATGGAGCAGCCTACCTGCCGAACACCGAACGAACCTTTTTGACATTTGTTGTATATCAGATATTTCAATTCTTTTTTCCTACAAAAACGTCAATGCTTTGCAACATCTCAGCAGTCACCCTTTTATATCCCAGCATCATTAGCATCTTTAAACAAGAACAACATAATTTATGTGCATCGTCGGAGGCGTCTAAGAATGTGCAAGCAGCAGCGCGACCCCACCATGTGGTGTTGACGTTACTCAAACCAGCGTTCGTCATACGGGACGATTTGACGCCGATCGGGCCGTTCGTTACCCAAAATATTCGTCTTTTGGGGCAATCGTTATGCGAGGTACCACTGTATTTGTTAATTTACAGTAATTAAGCATGTGGCATTGTAACTTATATTAATTGTAGAAACTATATTATTTTATTTGCATTCTTATGTATTTTGAGAACAATTGCTTGTTCAATTAGTGGTAAAATATAAAAAGTCCTTATTTAACATTCGTCATGTTTTGAGAGCAAATGCGGGGCGTCCTGACACCACGCTAGTCAGTTAGCTGCGAGACCTTGTCTGGGTTACATAAGTTGAGTATTTATGTTTCTTGTATATAGGTAGATTAATTGTGTCTGGAAGACAGTTTTCTTTTAATTACATAACCATTTATTAAGTGATTGCCATCTGAAATACTTTTAATACTATATTATGTTTTGAGTTATAAGAAAATATATTATATTCCATATTAACTCTCGAACCACTAGGGGCCCAAATGGAATTCACACCCACAGGCGAAACAACAACAACAACAAAAATCCAAAAATTTCTTTCGTCTTATAGAAGTGTTCATTTTTGTTCCCTTATCATGGAAAAAATAAAAAAAAATCGTAGGTGGCATATTTTAGCCGCAATAGGGTAGGGAAGTGTGACAAAAAGCCAGCGTTGAATGTAATGAAACGCCATTTTCTGGGCGAGACCTGGAGGGTCCCCGGAGCTTTACCGGCTGATATGCTAATGTCAGACTTTGGCATCAGTCATGTGTATGGAGTTCTAGGGCCTACCGGGGACCACGGCCAGAACCTGGCCCCCTCAGAGAGGCAAGGGGAGCAATGGCCTATAGAAACCCCCGTGTGGTTGGAAGCATTCTATGTCTGCCATCGACTGGGTCAAGCATCCAGAAAGGTAAGCATTCCAAAACAAACCCCTATTCTGGTGAAAATTGCTACCTAAAGCCGAACTAGTGGATAGAACTCTTCAACAGAAAACAAGGAAACTAGTATGACGTCATACGTCACCGCGCCGCTGTCTGCGCAGCTCCCCCCTCCCCGGGAGGGGGAAGGGGGAGCCCCAGACCTCCCACGCCGGCTATCCACTCATCAGTTCTGAGGCTGGATGTCAAAACACGCGAAAAACCGCCGACCGGAGGGAGGGAGGGTTGCCGGGGAGCCTCCGGGTCTCACCCAGAAAATGGCGTTTCATTACATTCAACGCTGGTTTTCTGGGGGGAGCCCCGTCGGCTCCCCGGAGCTAACTACCCACAGAGGAAGGTCAAAGGGACAGAACCGGGAGGCGGACACCACGCACCCCCCAAGGAGGCGAGACAACCGGCAGCAAACGCCAACCCAAGGCGCCACAGCCCCGAAAAGTCCCGGGAACAACACGAGAACAACGAGCAGCAAGGCCCCTGCACGAACACCAAAAATCCATGCCCAAAAGACCGCAAGGCCACGTCGCCCAGACGGCAGCGAGAGCAGCGAAGCCACGAACGCCACAGGCATGAGGGAAGAACACAGGCAGCTTAGCCGCAAGAACACGGCTGACCACCCAGGACACTATCACCCGCGAACCGGGAGGAACAGAACCGGATCAACGCAAAATGCGCTCCGGACCCAAACGCCAAGGCACGCAAACAACAGCAGAGGGCCGCCACTGAACACAAAAAACGACACATCCCCGGCCCGACCAACGAAGCACCAACAAACCCTGGACCCCTCCAGAACGCAGCAGCTCCACCCCGCGCCAGAAAAGATGGAGACTGCTGCCATCGAACGACCAAAACGCTAAAAACCGAAGGAGCAAGAAAACTCAGCGATTCGACCCCCAGAGGCAAAGGCCAAAAGGAAAGAGCCGACGAAAAAACACACCGGAACCGAAGGGGCACTACCAACCGAGGAGAAGACAGAGCACGCTGACCAGAGACCAGGATGGTGCAAGCGGCGCACGAACAGGCCGGAGGTGAAACGACGCACAAGACAGCTGACTAACGGTGCAGAAGCAACACCAAGACCGAAAGCAAGCTGAAGCGGCTCCGCCCGCGCCGCACGAAAAGAGGCGACAGTATGTGGCAAGACGACGGCCCCCAACCCCCACCAGAAAACCAAGCCGAGAGTAAACCAAGC